TGGTTATGTATTTGGCGCATCATGCATATTGAAAGAGTAAATTAATATGTTTGCGGTTGGTGAGTGATCACATCTAGGCTGTATAATTATATTAAGAAAGTTGAAAGAATGTTATTTTTTCTTTCCGCCCATGCCATTATATATTATATTCACAATAAAACTAAAAATTCTAAATATTTAAAAATATACTATTTTAAATTTTAAAATTCAGTTTTTATACTTTATTTTTTTTACTATTTTATAGTTGATTTTTTTTCCATCCACTTAATTTTATTCAATTTTACTATTTATGATTGACTTGGTAAAAATAAAAAAAGGAAAAAATAATCTTGTATGCTTATAATATTATCAGTTTGGCCCTAAAATACTATAAATATATATATGATAAATAATTGTATTATTCCATTAATGATATTTTTATGTATTTTTAAAGATAAAGAGTTAATTTGATAAAAAAATATAAATATGAAGAACTAAAACTTTAGTTTACTCTTTTTTGTAATTATAATATCAATATTTGTCGACAAAATTGAATGAAAATTAGTATAGAAACTTAGATTGTTAAATAAAAAATAATACAGAAATTCAATATTGTAAAATGAAGTATATAAACTAAAATGTAAAAATTGAAATAATATAGTGGCTCTGAACATATTTAAACCAAAGTACAGATATATCACAAAAGCCAAATATAATTTATCGATTAACAGAAATTTGAAATGGAAAGACTATATATATTGACAAGACAAATAAACACATATATAAAATTTTATGTTAATATGATAAATTTATAAAATTTTACATAAAATTTTAAAAGAAAATAAATTTATAAAAAATTAAAAATATATTATTAAACAAAAATATAAAAAAATTATCAGAAAAATGACTATCTCTATCTTTCCTCTCCGTCCATCCATGTGTACACCAATGAAGGATCTAGATTCAAAAGGCACAGAAAAGGCAGAGGTGGCGCCTAAGCCTCATCCCCTCTGCCCTGTTATCGTGGCAAATGCTCTGGCTATTTATTATGGGTTTCACTTTCTTATTGTAGTCAAGACAGCAGAGTATTCGATCTTATCTCTTCTAAGCAAAGCTACTTCCATTTTCAATGACTGAGATTTCAAGCCTTGCTATTCACTTCACTATCAAGTCATAATCATCAATATTCAAACCTTTTATCCCTTCTTAACCTTTAATTATTGGCTTTTGTGTTACGAGCAACACATTTTTCTTAAAAGGGACTAGAAATGTGTTTGTTGGTAGGGCTGAGCAACGAAATTGAGAAAATCGAAAAATTGATATGAATAGAGTAAAATGGTTTGGTTCGGTTTGATTTTGGTTTTAAAAGGTTCGGTTTAAAGGTTTCATTTTTTATTCGGTCCGGTTCGGTTCGGGTTTTTCATATGAAACCCATTTGTTACATATTAAACTGAATAGGCAGTTTTTGTAAAAAAATTATAGTTTCAAGTGATTTTTTTATTGAAAAATCGATAAACCGAACCGAACCGAAAAACCTGAACCGTTAAAAAAACTGAACCAAACCGAAAAAATCGATTTCAGTTTTTTCGATTTTTTAACTATTCAGTTTCGGTTTCGGTTTAAATATTGAAAACCTGTTTATTTCGATTCGGTTCAATTTTTGATAAAAAAAACCGAACCGAACCGAACCGAATACACCCCTATTTGTTGGTACCACTCTAAGCTAAAATAAGTTGTTTAATATAAAATTATTATTATATTTTCATTAAAAATATATTCAATAGACAATAATATATTTAGATTGATGATAAATAAGTAAACATTTTTTTAATATTTATTTTAAATATTTTTTATTTTATAAATTATGGTATTGTTATATTTGTTAATAATATTTTCGTATTTTTAATTTTTTTTTAAATATTTTATTTTTAAAAATTTTAAAATTTTAAAAATTTTAAATTTAATTAATATATTAAATTTTACAAATCTTTTAACTTTTAGAAAATTAAATCTTTCGATTATGTCATTACCCTTCGTAGACTACTACTTTAATATTATAAACTATTATATTATATCCCGAGTCACCACGTCAACACTATATTATCAAATCTACTTTTAGTTAGTAAAATGGTTAACTTGCTTTTATTTTTCCAGTGTAAAGACTACACTGGATACAAAATAAATGTAAAGACCGCATGAAATTTATTCCAAAACTTTTAAGGAACTAAGGTTGGTTAAGCCATTGTTTTTAAGATTGGATTAAATAAAGGGGACAAATGCAAGTGGAGGCTCAAAAGCCCGCAGAAAGAGAAGATACCCACATGGCAGGTACGGAGAAGTCACAATCATACGACGTGGCGAAACTGCCAGCGTGTTGAGTTGTTCATCCTAGCTGGATATTGCGCTGCGCTTTGCCGTACTGCTCACTGCTGCTTTTTGCCGCCTTTGCTCGTGTGTCAGAAAATTATTAAATAGTTTTTTAATCATTAAAAAACATTGTAAAAGACACATCAGAAAAATAAAATTAAATGATTAAAAAATAAGGAAAATTACACTAAAAATTTATTAATTTAAAGATATATTAATTTATCGATAAATTAATAATTATTAATTTAAAGAATTTTTAAGTAATTATACTATACATACTAAATAAAAAGGTAAATTAGTTTATGTCTCTTAGAATTACGTTGCAAGAGATGAGTTAAATTAATAATGAGTTCCAAATAGACTTGAACTTTAAAGGAAAACAGACAACTATTGAATCATATTTCAATAGAGTGTGATATATTTTTTTCAGTTTCTATAAATTATTAATTTATGATTTTCTTGGAACCGAAAATTAAAGGGATTTAACGAAAAATTATTATCTTATTATTTTATCGAATTTTTCAATTTTTTACATTGATCCAAGTCGGGACCGGATAAATTTATTATTTTAGAGAGTTTATTAATTTATCGAGTATTAATTTAAAGAATTTCTACTGTATCTTGATTCTTTGCATTGGAAACTATACACTGTCGCTTCTTCTCCATTTTCTTTTATTTATTTTCTTATGTTTCCTCTTGTTGTTGGGTTTAACGTTCTTGTGATTCTTATTCCCGTTTTCATGGATTTTTATTGATTTTGGGTCAAACTCATTCTATAAAATTTAATTAATAAATTTAGAAAAATAAGAATACAATAAATGAAATACAAGAAAGAATAAATTTTAGTAAGTGAATTTGTAATTTATTCTATTATTAAATAAAAAAGTTTTTTGAACAACGGAAGAGACCCCAAATAATTCAAAAAACAACAAGAAAAACAGGGCGTCTCATGTGTCGCCTCTCTTTGTAAGAAGGAAGAGAGAGAGAAGGGCAGAAGCAGCTGACTTTCTCCAAATAAATTAAACAAAAAATTACTAGAACAGCCTGCCGGTCTAGGCCATCAATAATTGGCTTCCATATTTTGAAATGCCCATTCAGCCCTTTTTTATTTTTAATTAGACTTTTAAAAGAATAAAAATTATATGGATAATCTTAAAATTAACTTCCAATGTTTGTTAAAATATTCATTTTGATATCTATTTTTTTTTAGGTATTTTAGTTATTAACGTTTCATTTTAGAGTAAAAAAGTATCACAGTATATGAAAACTATTAGTTAACAAGCAATTAATGTTTCAAAACAAGAGTTTTTTACTCTAAAATAAAATATTAGAAGACCAAAATGCTCTAAAAAGGAATAAAGTCAAAGAGACAATTCAATCAAATATTAGGGATCTTTCTGTCATAAAAGGAAACGTTGAGGTCAAAATATTTCAAAATACTAGAGACTAAAATGATTATTTTAGGAATGTTGGGGACTAATTTTGATATCACGCCTTTTATTTTTTATTTGACCTTTCATGTACATGATATATATTATATATTTTTGGTTATCTTTACGGTTTGAAGGATTTGTTTTGATTAATACCGACTGATCCGAGTCACACATTTGGTTTTTGGTGTATAAGTAGGGATGAACACTCAACCCGAACCCGCCGGGTTCTGATCCGACCCGATCGGGTCGGATTTTTTTAAAAAAAAGTTTCGGGTTCGGGTCGAGTTTTTTTAAGTGTGATATTCAGATCGGGTTCGGGATTAGGGTGAAAAATACCGACCGACCCGAAAAATATATAATTTTACCTTATATTTAGGTATAATTATAATAATACCCTTCTATGTATAATTTTTTCAATTAAGTCACTGTTTTTATTGAATAAAAATAATTTTTTTATTATTTCGGATAATGTCGGTTCGGGTTGAGTTTCTAAGTCATATATTCGGGTCGGGTCGGGTGAAACATTGTTTTGGTCGGGTTGGGTCGGGTCTCGGCTGGAGGCTTCCTTGTTCTCGGGTCGGGTGAACCAAAAACCCGACTCAACCCGATCTATGCCCATCCCTATGTGCAAGTCTTCCAGTAAAGAATTTTTAAATACACAATGACTCGAATTCAAAATCTTATTTAAATAAAATCAAACAGTTTACCACTTAAACTGATATTTATTGATTTTCATGTATACGACATTAATCTCATGTACACAGTATTTTTTCTTAATATATCGTGTAAATTTTTAATAGTTTAAAATTATTATAACGTAGTATTTATTTAAATATTTTATTAATAATACATATTATAAATACATTAACTCTAAGTCATTCAACGAATTCAAATACAGTGTAATCTAATTTAACAAAGATCCTTTCACTGTATTATTAATTGGCCTTGTTATATCGCAAGGAAAGAGGAGCGTGAAGTCAAAAACAGAGTATATTTTAAATGTAAAAGATTACAAGGACTGGCAGCAGAATTGGAACTGTATAATCATATTGAATTGTGAGAGAAAAAACACGATGTCCAAAATTGAAGTTTAATTCAATAAATGCCAGCCTGTCTGCTGGTCTACCATTCCGCTTTCACTCGGTCACGTCTGGCCTCACCTTTTTAAGACTTTGCCTACGCGTTCTCGCCGCCCATTCTTCTCTTCTTCTCCTTGTTTGTGTTTATTTTTCTTTAGCCTACAGAAAGGAACAGAAAATATAAACACCATTTCTGCTTACTTTAATGGCGAAATCGAAGACCATAATCAACGCCAAGAAGCAATCTTACATTTCAGTTCCATCTCAGATAATCAACTCCCTATCCTCCTCTTCTCTCCAGTCTCTCTTGGTATCTCCCAAGAGAAGCAGCTCCGGTAGCTTCTTTTTGGTCAGCAAGTACACATGTAGAAGCCCGAAGGTGTGGTTCTTCGCTCTGTTTCTATTCGGCCTTGTTGGGATGTTGAGGTTGGGTTGGAACGTCAACACTTTGATCCTATTCTCTCCCGACCCAGACCCATGTCTCCAAACTCAACAAAACATCGACACCATAGGTCAAAACCACGACTCCTCGGTGGTTTCTGCTAGTAATCTCGGTCAACCCCCTCACCACTCGGATGAGGAATTAGGTGAGTTCTGGAAGCAGCCTGATGGGATGGGTTACCGGCCGTGTTTGGATTTCAGTCGCGAGTATCGAAGAGCGAGCGAGGCCATCGTTAAAGGCAGGAGTAAGTACTTGCTGGTTGTTGTTTCGGGTGGCATCAGTCAACAAAGGAACCAAATCGTCGATGCCGTTGTCATCGCTAGGATTCTGGGTGCTGCTTTGGTTGTTCCCATTTTGCAAGTCAATGTCATCTGGGGTGATGAAAGGTACAAAAACTAAAATAAATCATTTCAACACTGGGTATTTTTCTTCGTGACTGTTGTTTAATCGTCTGTTCCTTGTTTTCATCCTTTTGCAGTGAATTTTCTGATATATTCGACTTGGCTCATTTCAAGAGTGTTCTTGAGGATGATGTTCGTATACTATCTTCATTGCCTTCTACACATGTAATGACAAGGCCAGTAGAGGAGAGACGGACTCCACTTCACGTCTCGCCTCAATGGATTCGTTCACGTTATCTCAAGCGGGTAACCAATCCTTTTCCTCTATGTTGTTTCAACAAGTAACTTAGGCACTCGCCTAATATTAGGTACACTATCGGAATAACTTGTATAGCGGTAAAGGTGCCGTTGAAACTGTTATTGCACAACCGCTATACCCGCAGAGGCTGGAATAGCATCTGTTATTGCCTCCATCGCGATAAAGGCAACTACAATTTAATCCCTGGAACTATGAGACATTGTGTTAGCTAGTACGATTTCAATTTTCTTTTTGCACCTATTGACACGGTTCTTTTTGTGCAATAGATAAACAGGGAAGGAGTTTTGCTTTTAAGAGGCTTGGACTCAAGGCTCTCTAAGGATCTTCCTCCTGATCTTCAAAAGCTTCGCTGCAAGGTACTTGAAATCTTACTGGATTTGGAAAACTTGCCCTGTTCTTTACCCAGTTGTGTTGGTTTTAGTTGTTTGCTTTGAAGATTCTAATTTTTCATCATTTAATATCAGGTGGCATTTCAAGCTTTGAAATTTGCTCCACCAATCCTTGAACTTGGTAACAAGCTGGCCCAGAGAATGCAGAGCAAAGGACCCTACCTTGCTCTTCATCTTCGAATGGAGAAGGATGTATGGGTGAGGACTGGTTGCTCACCAGGCTTGAGTAAAGAATATGACGAGTTAATCCAAGATGAAAGGAGAAGATTCCCCGTGCTTCTCACTTCGAAATCGAACATGACTTACCATGAGCGAAAGCTTGCAGGGCTCTGCCCCTTGAATGCTTTCGAAGTGACTAGGTAAGAGCTAGTTCTATGTTATACAATACTATGAGCTCCACTTGATACCTTATTATGTACTGAACAATCTTCTGTTGTTGTATACATTAGGCTGCTTAAAGCTTTGGGGGCTCCAATGAATGCAAGAATATACTGGGCTGGGGGACAGCCACTGGGTGGGAAAGAAGCATTGTCACCTTTAACCAGAGAATTTCCCCATTTTTACAATAAGGATGATCTTGCATTGCCCGGCGAATTAGAACCATTCGCTAAGAAAGCTTCTTTTATGGCCGCCATCGACTTCATAGTTTCCGAGAAAAGTGATGTTTTTATGCCATCTCATGGTGGAAATATGGGCCACGCAATTCAGGTTCGCCAGTTGCTTCGATTTTTTTCTCATTTTTTCTGGTCAAACGAGTTATCACTTCTTGTGTCTATAACCGCATATGCTTCTCTGTGGCTACTTGAAAACTGATTTTGTTGATGGTTGTTGATGCAGGGGCAGAGAGCATTTTCTGGACACAAAAAGTACATAACTCCAAATAAAAGACACATGCTTCCTTATTTCCTGAACTCTTCAATGCCTGAAGCAGAGTTCAACAGCATCATCAAGGAATTACATGATGAATCGTTGGGGCAGCCAGAACTCAGGAGCAGCAAAGCCGGAAGGGATGTAACAAAGTATCCAGTCCCAGAATGTTTGTGCAACGATGTACGTTCCCACTCAGTTTGATACGACAACTTCATTGCTCAACAGTTTCTTCACCGGGCACTGATGATTCTCGGGAGCGCAGTTTCAAGAATGACTGCAGCCGGTATGATCTTTGCGCAAGCATATTGCATGCGTATGTACTTATTCAAGGCAAGTGTTCACATATAATGAGAGAATATATATATATATATACACACGATATAGTTTATCATTCTTTGATTCTTTCAGAATAGATTTATTTGTATAATTATATAAATGTGTATATGTGTTAAGAAAGAGCTTATTCTTCTTATTGTCCTGTTGGATTCACATAATTGAAATTTCCTTGTGTGTTCATTGCTTACGTTTACTGCTGTGTATCTATTGAAATACCCTCTAACACGAACCAATGAATCCATAAACTCTTTTCGCTTTTTCACTTCACCCTTGTTTTCTTCATCATAAAGGTACCGCTGCACACACGCATCATTTGCACTCCAAGGAAGCCATTGTCAATTATATATATATACTCCCTGTTTTATTATTTTTGTCTTATTTTGATTAAGCGGACAGAAAAAGAAATATAAATGTTGTTCTTTATTAATTTTTTAATAGGTTATTTTAAATGAGACGACTTAAAATTTAAAATGGATAAATTTAATGTGAAGGACGTAATATATGCTAATCATCTAACTGATCACAAATTTTATTAGGGTAAAATACACAAATGATTCCCGACTATAATGCACTATTTTTTGAGTCTTCCAACTTAAAAATTATAAAATGGTCACTCGACTATTTATATGTTCTAAATTCGTCATTTTCTGTTTAAAATTGATGATCGTTTGAACTAGATGTTAACATACTGAATGTGGTATGATAAAATTATATTTTAATAATGTCTATTGGCACTTTAATTACTTTTAAGCATTGACTCAATAAAATAATGTTTCAAACTCTGACTCGACGACATAATGTAAACGGAGACTGGATCCATAAATACATCTCAAACGATTCTCGACTTATATTTTATCACATCTCAGTTAACATGTTAACGTCCAACTCCAAAGAATGTCAATTTTTAATAAAAAAAATAATGAATTCAGAACATATGAATAATCGAGGGCCAATTTTATAACTTTTAATAATTAGAAGATTCAACAAAGTCCTATAATCAGGAGCTATTTTCTTTTCCTACAGCTTCTTTCCCTGAGAAAGGAGTTTGAGGTTTCTTGGGAGGAGTTACTAACTTAGCTTCTTCCGCCACCCACACACTCACTAATTAATACTGAAAAGGACCGAGTGTTTACTTTCTCAAAGGACCGTGTGGAACGAGGATTAGTGTTTGTAACGGCTGAGCCTTTCGAGGAACAGCTTTCGATCACAGTCGAGGATCAAGTGCACCCTTCGATGGACAGGATGTGTTAGGGAAGATAAGCCTTCAGCTCAGTTCATTTTAGAAACGACTTGACCACCGTCCAGTTCATTCTCAGTGTTTCAATTTCGAGAAGTACGCTTTCGATGCCATGGAAGGTGATAGGAGGAAAGAGCTCAAGTTTTCTAGTAGGATTCGTTTGAGAGTTCGTCTTGAAGGTGGATATCATATGCTTGATCAATCAACAATGTACATTAGTGATCAATGGCCCGCAGCAAAACAGCTCTGTAAACAACGTGTTGGGACTTTTCAATGAAAATGGAACAAGTATGCCCGATGGTGTACGGATGCCTATTGTTTGGCCAAGTATGGCCAGTAGTGGGTTCGGACCAGAACCATTCTTGAGACTTTCAATCCCAACTGGAACGAGCAATATACGTGGGAAGTTTACCATCCTTGCACGGTGATCACACTAGGAGTTTTTGGCAACAGCCATGTGTGCGGCAGTGGCGGCGGCAGCAAGCAATTCATGGATCGGAAAGGTACATATTCGATTATCAACTCTAGAAGCTCATAGGATATACGCACATTCTTATCCACTCCTTGTGTTGCGCCCACATGGATTGAAGAAAATGGGAGAGCTACAACTAGCATTTAGATTCATTACTCTCTCACTTGCTAGCATGATATACATTTATGGGCAACCTTTACTGCCTAAGATGCATTACTTACATCCATTCACAGTTAATCAACTAGACAATGTGAGAGACCAAGCTATGATTATTGTGGCAAGGTGGCTCGGTCTAGAAGAGCCACCTTTGAGAAAAGAGGTGGTTGAATATATGTTAGATGTGGATTCCCAGATTTGGAGCATGAGAAGAAGCAAAGCTAATTTCTTCCGCATCATGTCACTTGTGTCCGGCATGATCTGTCTGTCAGTTGTTCCGTGATGTTTGCAACTGGAAGAACCCCATCACATCGGTTCTAGTCCATGTTCTGTTTCTGATTCTGATATGGTACCCTAAGTTGATTTTGCCTAAGGTGCCCACCCCACATGTATACAAGGCTTTCATGGGCTGAGGCAGTGAATCCGGACGAGCTTGATGAAGAATTTGTCACCTTAAACCACATGATGTAGTTAGAATGAGGTATGATAGGCAACAAAGCAACACAATGGGAGATATTTGAGTCCCTGTTGGGGTGGAGAGATCCCAGAGCCACCAACCTTTTCATTCTTCTTTGTCTTTGTACGTCTGTTGTATTGTATGCAACGCTGCTTAGCGTGGTGGTTCTGGTTGGTGCTCTGTATTGTCTTCACCACCCCAAATTCCGGAGCAAGCTGCCATCTCTTCCCTGCAATTTCCTCAGGCCATTGCCTGCTCGATTGATAGCTTACTGTGATGTGATATGATGCTAGTTCGTTCTATCATAATAAGTATTAACAAATATGATACAAAGATTATTTGCACATCTTGCAAGTTCCAACACAAGTTTCATTTGTCCTTATTGGTTGAAAATCAAGGCCCCTTCAAAACAAAGTAGAAGTGATTGTACGAACATACAATAATGGAAAACGCTTTTATGAGCAATTCTAAACAAGGATGCTTGTTTCATTACACTCCAATACCAAATCCCTAATGGTACGTAACCCCAAAATGACAAGTTCAAAAAGGAAAACAACTCACTGACAATGCTAAAATCATATTCGCCTCAGATGCTGCCCGGTGCTTAGCAACATGCTGATTTCAGCGATACATGCCAGATTAGAGTAACAAAAAATGCTAGAAAATGTATATGTAATTTTGAATTCTTGCTGGAAATGCTACTCTTCCGACTCGCAACGAGTACCATTTCATAACTACCACGATTGAAAATAGCATTGCTAAAATTGATCAAGACACATCTTCCACTCGAAATCTCAAGAAGCGACTCTGTGTTTTGTTTTCTGTTTCTTAGCATCCAATGAAGCCAGGCCTGTGCCTAATCCAACAGGTGCTGCTTCTTGCTTGGATGTTGTTGACTCAACCTTTTTGGCATCAACTGGTGCATTTGGATTATGATGCCCATTTGCCTCCTTGCTCTCTCCAGCAGCTTCCCTGCCATCTCCTACCTCTGGAGTTGTCCCCATGTTGATCATGTTAAGAAGCTGAGTTAATGGGGGCACAGCTTGGACTGGTATCCCATGTGAGCGAGTCAGAAGACCTTTGGCAGCAGCCTTCTTCCTTACTTCCGCTGCCGCTCGAGCTGCTGCTTCATCAAATCCTCGTCCACGAGGTAGAGTCTCACCAATCATTGCTGCATTCATAGACTTGTTGAAAGATGCACTAGAACTCCCAGATCCTCCAGCTGCTGCGGAGGCTTGGAATGCATGCACCAAATCTGGATGAGCCTGCCAAGCCAATTTATGAATCAGATAAACAGTGGCCAATCATATCAAGAAACAACATTTCTCTCAGACCTGTATACTGATTTGCAGAAAAAGGAACCCAGATAAAGAAACTAGAAATGGTTACATGCATAAGTTCTAATAGCAGTTGCATAGTGAAAATGACAATGTGAAAGGGTGGGAGGGAACGATCAGTGATGCAAAATACCTTCAAGAGATCAATTGCCTTTTGAGCAGAAGCTGCATTCAAAGCTTGACCTTTTTGCTTTTGAGCATTCATCTGCAATGCAAGTCAGCTACCTCAGAAACCACAAAAAACAAATATATATATATATATATATATATATATTTGTGTGTGTGTGTGAAGGATCAACATTACTCAAACAATTCTTTCCCAATATTAGACCCTTAAAGAATAGATTGATATCACACATTGACTGCAAGATCATTCACTTGCCTGAAGTTCACGCATCTTAAATGTCTTCATCCAGTTCTGGGAGTCTCTTGTTCTCGAGTCCTCCTCTCCAAGCTGTTTAACGAGAATGTCATATGTCTTCTTTTCATGCTGTGTGCACCAAAAACAATAGTAAATTAAATCAATCTTAAACATCAGTAAGAAAAAGTGCATTACTCTTCCAGAAACACATGCCTGATGTGAAAGTTTGAAGGCACCCATACAGTTGAACGCAATTGCAAGTACATGATAGCATACAGCTGTTTGAATATGTTCCTCGCCAAGCAGCCTTTCATTCTTTTTCAAGGCCTCTTGCAGATAACGAAGTGCCGTATTCATCTTCTGAATATCTTGATACATCATTGCAACATTTATGAAAGTTGCAGCAACATCAGGATGATCTGGGCCAGAGGACAGGCTTAGCAAAAGCAGTGCCCTGGACATGTATCGGAGTGCTAGCTCTGTCTGGTTCAGGCCGTGGTAGAAAAGAGCCATATTACCATAACTGCAGTTAGATTGAATTAGACCTATGAAGAGAGCAAGAAAGGGTAAAACTATCTAAAACAAGTTCAAAAATCATAATGGTATTGTTGTATCAATAGCAATTAGGATAAATTCATATTGTAAGACACCAAATGAACCCATTATATGCATGTCCGTGAGAACCTAGAAAAAAAAAACCATGCCTGTGAGCAGTATCCGGGTGGTCCAAACCCAAGCAACGTTCATTTATAATTAGTTCTTTGTGCTGTTGCATTATGGCGCCAGCCATATCTCCTGCATGATACAAAACCATAGCAAGGTACCTGAAAACAGGAAAGTAAAACTATTTAGACAAGATTGGAAGTCAAAACACTGTGAGCACTCAACCTCTACTGAAAAAAGGAATCACCTAATTATAAAAAGAAGATTCAATACCATGTCTTTAACATGGTGAAATATAACAAAGGTTGGTTCACTTGCATAA